GTAGTAGTAGTAGTAGTAGTAGTAGTAGTAGTAGTGGTAGTGGTAGTGGTAGTGGGAGTAGTAGTAGTAGTAGTAGTAGTAGTAGTAGTAGTAGTAGTGGTAGTGGTAGTGGTAGTGGGAGTAGTAGTAGTAGTAGTAGTAGTAGTAGTAGTATAGCATAGTATAGCAGTAGTAGCCGTCGTTAATCACTGTGCTCTTGAAGCTTGGAGAAAAGCAGAAGTCATTTATGGAACAGGAATAGGAGAATCGAGAGCCAACCCGGCACCTGCCTCCAGCTCATCCAACAGGCGAATTTTGCAAAACACAGGCACCGGAAGTGCCTGAGCCAGGCTGAGCCGAGCGAGGACCAGAGAGCAAAGACATCTCGGGCGACTGGGACCCGTCGCCTCTGAAAGGCGCTTGACGATGCTGCAAACCAAACCTCGGTCCTGCTTCTCCAGCAGATAGGCCTGGCCGAAGACTACTCAAAACACTCCGACTGCGAAAACTCGACTGGGCAAGCACGTCGGATGGACACCAAAATGCTCGGCATGTGCCTTTGCCAGCACATCTTCCCAACCCCAGACAATCGGAAGTAGCAACTTTTGAGTCATGACAGCATGCACCGGACACATAAGTGATGGACTACTCGCTGAGGGCAGCCCAAGTTCAGATCTATTGCGTCAACACCTCCAGCGGCGGCTCTGTGCTGCGCTGTACTCCGGTTCTTTCAGTGACTTACGGCCACGTGTGAAACTCGGTCTAGGGACGATCTGCCTTCGAATTTACATACGACCCCTCCCAGAGCTCTCGACAGACCACCCGGTCCACGCCACTCGGCACGAATGCAAGGAGCGGCCACCGCGGGGGGTGTATGGCAAAGCTGGTACTTCATCAGCACGCAAGATCTTCACGACAGGCAGCATCAGCATAAACAAAACAGTGTATTGCGTAGCCCGACCCCCCCCGGGCAATCATGCCATGTGCATCGGAAGCACACGGACCAAGGCAAGCAACGATGAAACCGCCGTACAAGTACGTATGCAGTACGTATGCTATGAGCTGCTTGGAACGAGCTCGAGCTTTTACCCTCATAGCAGCTGCAGGGCTGTTCCCCTTCGGGACTTCTGAGATTCTGCGATTCGTGTAGCCGAGCGCGCGACGGTCTGCAATGCGGCGTGCTGCTGCTAGCAGCACCTGCGAGAAGGCTCATGTGCGAGCTTCCGAGCCGAGCTGAGGACATTTTGCACGTCCCGTTTGTTGTGGTCCGCTGTTCGTGAACACCTGAGTTGCACTTTCGACATGCACACCTCGGTCACTTGTGCCACTGTGCACTCTTCGTTCTGCAAGTGAACCTGCTGCACACTTGCATTTTCCGGAAGTGCTTGTGCAACACGTAGCAGTTAGGCAAAGAATAACAAGGACCGGCATCTCAAGTCTCTCAACTCTGCAAGCCGAGTCAGTGCGAACAGCCGCAAGCGCCGGCTATCTGGCACGACTTTCGTCACGTCGGGGGTCTCTTTAGGACACAGCTTCGGACATCAAGGTCGCATCAGCATCGCGTTCCTCGTGCAGACGCTTCCGCAAGAGTGCACGAAAAAGAACTGCATGGAGAGCACAAGACACACAAATGGAAGACCACTACGCATCAAATCACAGTTAGCCAAGTGCAAGCGACAAATCAACGATGGTGGTTGCCTGCGGGTAGGCCAGGACAAAACCGTTCAACCGCTGTGTACCCGTAACTCTTACAAGTTACCTACAAGTCTTACATAGTTACCCCAGAACCCCTGATGCTGGCAAAACAACTCCGTTGGTGAAACATGTGCACCAGTCTGTTGGCAGACTAGCATTCCACAACACGCATGAAACTGTGGTGAGAACACAATGACAAATCCCATGCAAAATATGTGGGTTTGCGGAGCACAATTCTTGGGAGGAGCAAACACATGTCGGAGTCAACATTTGCACTGCTCGTTGGGGCAGCGCGATTTCGGCAGGCGGACACAAGCTTCGCTGTGGCGGGACGGTTTCGATTTTCGCCAAACCCCTTCCTAAAACGGTGGGATTTCGAGATCGCACATGGCCACAGCAAGAAACCCTGTGGAGGCAAGTGTAGCCGGGGGAGTGCAAAACATTGTCAAAATAGAAATCTGGCTGGCCAAACCCGAATATTTGGTGCAATGTGCCAACATGTTTGAATGTTGGCCTGATTTGGAGGGCTGGAGAAGACGTAAATCAGAATATGCCCTAAAATTCTGCGAATTTGGGAACGCCAAACCCGAAACTTGGCCAAGATGTTCGGATTTTGGCCTTAATTATTTGGAGTGTTGGGGAGGGCCAAGGTGATCCCAAACATCAACAAACATTATTTGGGTTTGGGCTTGACTTGTGGGAATCTGGCGACTGATGGCTATTGCGAGCTTCAACATGCTAGGATTGCTACAGTATGACAGTGGAGGGAGCGCGAATCAAGTTTGGGAGCGCCAGAGGATTGAACATTGAAATCGGTGTCCTTGCCGGGGGCCACAGAGAGACTGTGGAAAGAACGAGAAAAAGCGCTACTTTGGTTGACAATATGCACCGCGCCATAACGAGAGCCGCAAAACCTGTGTGCATCCATGTTGACTGTGGTCTGAAATCAGAAGCACTTCTTCTTCTGTCATATTGAGTACTGCTAGATGTTGCTACCAGTAGCATGCCCCAGATCTTCCTGTGTCTCAGATCTTGCGTCGTCGCTTGCCTCCGGATCGTTGCCGCAGAAATGGGCGACGAGAGGCCTGTCCTCTCACCAATGAACACTTGCCTGTCTTCTCAACTTTCTTTGGGATTTGCCGGCCTCTGGGCAGGTCTGGAACCCATTTTCCGGTGCAGCTCGATAGTCTGCATCTGTTGCGAACGGGCCGGAGTAAATCCTGGCATTCGGCTTTCAGAGACCACTACTCCCTCCATGTCTCCGGTTCGAGGTGAGAGCGCGTTCTTTTGTGGGACACCAGTTTATAGGTCAAGCCTTTGCGTGCATTGTGAAATGCGAAAGTGCGCTGGAGTTTTAGGTACGCTGCCGCAAGCGGCAAGCGGAGGCTTCCAGCTCACAGTCATGGTCATCATCAACTTCACCATCGCTATCAGCATCACCATACATGTCATCATCCCATCAGCATACATTCGGCGTACGTCGTTGAACATGTTGAACTCATCATTGTCGTATGTTTCTTCGTGCAAGGGCTCTCGAGGCTTTTTGTCGGGCCTGGAGATCTAAGAACCGAAAGGTCTGGGCGCAGGGGACGGATGCTGAGCACCGCTGCGGTTGATTCAATCACGTCGAGCCAGCATCGGCGTGTAGCAGAGCTGCGCTCCGAATTGCCGCGTCATCATCCTGAACATCGCATAACGCGGAAATCGTATCAGGCAAGTCAAGTCACTCAGCAAAGCAACATCGCTGCAGAAGCCTGAAAGGCAGCTCAGAACCGCCAACCATAGGTGCCAGGACATATCGATGAGGTGGAAGCTCGAAGCCTGAGCTGGTTGCAGCTGAACTTGCAGCAGTTCCATAGTTCAGCGGGCCGCACGTGGCTTTGGCACCAATGATGGGCACAAGGCGACTTCACCTGCAAAGTCAAGAGCCGTCTCGTGCGAACCGCATGTCCCCCATATGTGTGCCTGAAACCCTGGCCCTCTTCTCCACACCGTGCCGTTCAAATCGTTGGCGCTTGCCTCTCCGAACCTGCACGATTTGCACATTTTGCTCAGGTCTAACCGTCTAACCGCCATCTGTGCGCTTCCAGCTGAGTTGCATGAAGTGAATTAACTCGCCGAAAGGCAGCAGAACGGCACGCGACTTTGTATCTGTATCTGTATGGACGTAGGTTCCGGCGCATGTGACATCATGCAACGACTTCACCATTCAATTATGGCAGGAAAATTTGAAGATAGTCCGAGCCTGAACAACACATGACTTGACTTGCCTCGCAAACACCTCAGCGGATCCTGATCTAATCTGATTTCTGATGCAACCTCTGCGTGCTGCCCCTACGGCCCTAATGCGGCACGGGCAAGGCGGTCGCACAGGGTCATTACGTGCTTTGGGCCTCTCTTGCCCAAGATTGTGGCTACTGGTTTCACATCAACACGAGGCAAGAAGTGTCCGCACATATTCACACACCCATCAGCACTGTGCTTGCTAATGTCATCGGTTTGATGGATTCGGACATGCCATGCCGAGCCTCGCACTGCCAACTCCTGTAGATCTTGGAGATCAGAGTTTGAGTGTGGTTTAGCGTGTTTTTCCGGAATCCCGGCTGGAGATTCCTCGGGCAGTGCCACTTGCGGGCGGGAATTGGTCTCGGGCAGAGACTTGTCTTTTGCTTTTTGTTGTGTGGTTCTTGATGGTTTTCTTTTTCGTCTGCGGAGGCCGGGGTGAAACCATACATCCCAGACGACCTCAGGCAGTCTGTATGCATTCTGCATAGGTACTTACAGCAATGGCATGGTGGCATATTCGCATGTAAATATTCCGCTGCTCCTTTCCTATCAAGTGGTTCAACGCAATATATATATATATATATATATCTGCGTTGTAGAGAAAACAGCCTGCTGGCCTCGCAAGGGCAAGTCATTAAGATTTACGGGCCTTACTTCGCCCGCATCAGTCCTCTGAGCACACCGGCGGCCAATGGCCAAGAATTAAGTCCTAGTGTTTGTGGTTCAGCTTTGAGCCATGGATGCCTGCGGAAGTGGCAGAGTCTGTGCGGGCTGTTTTGAAAGAGATGAGCACACCGGTGCTGACCCAGTGGCAGAGCGTTTCGCAGCTGCTGGTGGAGGCTGGCATGGCATGGAAAACCGAGCTGGAAGCAACGACGTTGCTGATTCGAAAGGAACCGCGGCGGGGTGGACGTGAACGGCTGCACGGCGCACTCCCAGGGCGAATCGTTGTGGAAGTCGGGCGTCGACGTCCGCTACCTCCACTCTTCGGTTTGCTGCTTGGTTTCGAATAAGTATACATGCTTTTGTTGCATATTTATCGTTCTGGGTAGTTTTGCTGCGCAGTCCTGCATGAGGCGTCGAGTTGAGCCACGAGCCAGCGAGGCTGCAGCAGCAACTTGCTTTCAACCGCGGCCGTGTGCAGCAAGCCGGAGGGCTCCTAGCTCCAGTGTCTGGTGCCAAGCGGTACCGCAGTGTGTCCACAGGACACACGTCGCCGTTCGTGAAGGCCGTGCTGCTCAACTGCCCTACACCTCTGGAGAGCCTCCGCGACCAGACTGGGAGGGTGAACCGACAAGCTTTGAGCAGAGACAGCCAGCTGGCTGAAATGTTCAAGGATGGTTGGACCTGGTTGGTCGCTAGCTCTCGGGCTGAGTTTGCCGTTCCAGAGCTGCCCGCCGTAACCGAAAAGGCTGTGCACAACCAGAAGCCCTGTACCGCAACTGGGCCTGGATTTGCGCAACACGCAAAACCCCTATATCACGACCAGCAAACAAGGTCACTTTTGCATTTTGGCCTGGTTTGCAATCCTGAAAGCGGCCCTGTATTCAGGGACCCACGAATCGTTTTGTAAGGAAGCCAGTTCCAGTAGGGACCGCTCTTCGCCCGGATGCTACGAACAACAAACTGCTAAGTGCTGAATGCCAGCTATCACCACTAGCACTACAACTACTACTGCTACTAGCAGAAGGAGGCAATATCTAGACACCGAAGCCTCCGCAGAATGTTAGGGGCCTATGTCATTGAAGCCTGACTGCAAGGTTGTAAGTGCGGAATCCTGAAAGTCAGTAGACGCGGTCGCGGTTCCGGTTGTAGTAGGAACTATTTTCGCACCATCCCCCCCCAACCCCACCCTCCCCCAGGCAAATTAACGGAAAGAGACACAACAATGCAAAAATGAACGCCACCCCACTGCTTTCCCTTGTTGATCTGTCCTTGTAATCCTCACGAACCCTTACAGCAGAACTCTTACACCCGCTTCATCTCGGAAATTCCTTTCGAAGCCTACGAAAATACGATGGACGTGCCAAGAACGACCAGTGAGGCGAGTCGGTTTGGCATTATAGCACCGGCCGGCTTTCTGCATCCGTGGAAACCCTGATGAGGGCCTGAAGAAGCCGTGCCGTGTCAGCCACAAACCATCGTGGAACCACAGAACACCCGTGATGAAGCCAGCGCAGCGCACGAGGGGAGGACCCTCAGACACGGTGACGACACACCCAACACCTCCCAAACCACAAATGCCAAAGCGTATATCGTGGAACCGCCGAAACAACAGGGCGGCAGAAGGGAACCGGAACCACAGCGTGAAGGGGTGGGGGGGGCTACCATGGGTGCAAACTGCCATCAGGGTCTCCCAGCGACTTGATCCGCAACTGCAAGCTAGCTAAGCACGAATAATTTGTAATGCACTAACATCAACCCGGGAGTGCCAAACCCCAAAAGCCCATGCTCGTGCGCCGCCCGCCTCTGTTTCAGCTAAGACCTAACAAGTGAATCGGCAAGGGTGAGGACACAAGCACACGTTCACTGAGCTATGGACAGAAACCGTGCCATCTTCCCACTGTACCTGAACTCATGCACATGGATGGTGCGCAGTGCGGGTTGTGTTCGGGGAGTGTTTACATTGCATGGTCTCCAGCTCTCCCACGAATGACGAACACCTCGCCTTGAGCCGTTCTCCAAGATGCTTGACGAGCTTGCACGCATACCATTCCTACAGTACAGTGACCAGTTTTCTCTGCTTGGAAATTAGAAATTAGGCGGCTTCCGTGCATGACAGCTCAACGAACCTCGTCAGGCTGCCAGTATCCGGACAGCTTTGTCCCAGGAGTAAACTCATCGCAGTCTTCGCGCATGGGCGGATGGGCCGAGTGAAGATGATCCCAGCTGAGGTTGAAGAATTGGAGCTGCAGGTCTAGTGATTCTAGTACAAGATGGCTCAAGTCAGCTATAGATCAGAGCATGCACGGATAACGCTTTCGCATGCTTTCGCAAAGCCTTCAGATAAAGCGCCATGTGCTTGCAGTGCCCTGAGCTGTCGTAGCCCTAGCGTCGAGAAATCAAGTACGGCAGTACACTCGCCTTTTCCGACCTGCAAGGCATCGAAGCAAAGACGCATCATGTGGCGTCTTGGTGGGAGGTCGGCATCTCCAGGTCATGGCATCCATTCCGAACTGGCCGAAGCCCCGGGCAAAGTGTGTCATCCAAGCGGCCATCTCGGGGTTCTTCGTCGAGCTGCATCTCTAGAGTCGTCGCAGAGTCGAGTCACAACGGGAAACTCGTTCGAAGGCGGAACGGTGTCACGGCCGCACATCAACACGGCATCGTCTGTCAGTCGTCCAACCAGTTTGATACATCAACCTCGAGTTGATCGTAGGACGGCTGGGCAACACCCTTAATCAAGGACCTGCTTGCCCTGGCTAGGCGATCGCCCTTGGCGGCTCTTCCCAGGGCAGAGACTTCTTCTGTTGTTGAATCGCGAGACTCGCGAGACCTGCTTGCTCTGCTCGAGGCCTCGGCGACACCTCCGCCGCCGCGATGCCCGCGACTTTGCTGCCGCGGGGTGGTGCCCTCGTGCGGTGTTGAGGGAGTGTGCCTTGGAGTTGATTCACGCGGCATTGAGGCGGCATGTCTTGGAGTTGTCCGCCGAGTGTGTTGCGAGTACCGGCACGGAGTGACATCTGTGCTGGAGAAAGGCTCGGTTGGCTTGACAGGGAGGGGTGGCAGCTTCTTGCCGCTCAGGAAATCTTGCCGAGCAGCTGGGATATTCTGCTCGCCAGGCGTTCCCTGAAGCAACTTGCGGACCACATCCAGCTTGGCAGGCTTTGGTTTGGACTCCGGACAGCGTGTTTCATGCTTGGCGATCCGATCAAAGCGAAATTTTCTGTGGCAGTACTTGCACTCCTCCAGCAACCCGGTATCCTTCGGCTCCGTTTCGACCTCCGTCTTGCCCTCCAAAGCGTCCAAGAACTCCTGGCCGCGTCTACACACTCCACAGGACTCCAATGGCGCGCTGTCTGTGCCTGCAAGAGGCTGGAAGACAGCTGGCCCGGAAGCATCAGGTGCGGCTCTGGGCTGGAACCTTTCACAGGGAAACTCCGAATTAATCTCTTCACATGCATGTCCGTGTTTTTATGGGCTGCTGGATATGAGAGTGACGTTTTCCCACAGTACATCGCAGATGCATTGAAGCTACATCTGCGGATAGCTCGAGAAACTTCAGTGTGAACTGATGCCGATCTCTGTCCCAACATCTTTCAGCAAGACTGTCTCTGGAAGTCTGCGTGTCCTTTGACTTGTGCATGTGTCTGTCTGTCTGTCTGTCTGTCTGTCTGTCTGTCTGTCTGTCTGTCTGTCTGTCTGTCTGTCTGTGTCTGTCTGTCTGTCTGTGTCTGTCTGTCTGTGTCTGTCTGTCTGTGTCTGTCTGTCTCTGTCTGTCTGTCTGTCTCTCTCTCTGTCTGTCTGTCTGTCTGTCTGTCTGTCTGTCTGTCT